ATTTCTGCTGGGTTTCTGTGTCCTTGATGGACTAATTGCWATTGTAATTAGGGAAGAACATTTCTTTTCCTGCTATTCCCATGCTGCCCTCTCTGCACCGTCAACATCAGATGATCTGATTGGATTCCACCACTCCAGAGGTGTTTTTTGGGTATGAATTTCCCCAGGCAGCCCCAGCAGCTGCCCCTTGAGCCCAGCCCAGCCAGTCTGAGCCTCACCTGCCTGGACTCCAGGGCAAACACGTTGAGAGCAGCGCTGTGAGGAGCCACAGAGACATAATCACTGTCATTGAACATCTCCAGSAGGATGCTCATGCTCCCCAGGGAGTGCACAATGTCACTGAGATCCGATTCTGTGGACAGAAAACAACATGGGATCACTTTAGCTGGAAAATAAAACCCTTCAGGATCATCAAACCCCATCCCTGAGTGCCAAAATCCCTGTTCCTTAAACTCCTCCTCCTCAGCACCAGCCTGGGGTGTTTTACACAGAATTATTGAGGTGCTGCCAGCTCAAACAGATGCTGGTTTTTATGGCCTGGCTTATTGCTGGATGTTTTTACCTTTAAAACATCCTCATTTGTCACCAAAAGGAGCTTTCCCAGATGTTTTACAGCAGGGTTTTAGTGCTGATATATCTGAATGTTTCTGTTCTTGCACACAGATCATCTTCTGCACAGCAAGAACAAGGTCTGGAACATGGAATGGGAGGAGGATCTCCAAACCAAACCCTACAGCACAAACCATTCCCCACCCCTGAGCACTCAGAAACGCTTCATTTGGGTTGATTTCCAGGGAAAAGATCATTCCCAACCCCAAAATTCGGGAGGAGGAGAGAAGAAAAGGCACAGAGCTCCCCTACCTGTGGAGTTCTGCAGCAGGAGGCGACTCCTGTACTTGTGGTAGCTCTCTCCAGGCTTCAGCAAGTACAAATCTGGGGAGAGTTTGATAGCAGCTACAGAATTTTTGATGATGTGGTGTATGAAAAACAACAAAATCTGAACTACAAGGAAAATGAGGAAAAGCAACAACCTGAAAGAAATAAAAGTTTGGGGATTTGTTACGATTCGGTGAGAGCCAACCCGGTTTTTGTTGCAACAACAAAATGTTTTGATGCAAACAACATCTCCCTCACCCCCCAAAAAATAATTTAT